TGGGGGGTGCTCGGATAAACTTTGCCTTCCTCCCTAGCGGGAAAAGCTCCCTTCCACTTCCGCTCGCCGGCCCCGCCTTCCGTCCCTCCCCCTCCACCCCCCCAAGCTGGGTCCTAGCGCCTGCCGCTCCCTGGCTGTGTCCCGGGCTCCGTCGGTGAGAGGAGCTGCCGTTGACGCCACAGAGCCAGCCCCAGTCTGTTCAGGTAGGAAATGCCGGCAGGAAGCCGCAGGGACCCCCGGGCAGTCCCACTGCGGACGCAATCCGAGCGGGCCTCAGTTTCCCTGTGGGTGCAGAGGGCAGATGGGGTTGGCCTGGAGCGAGCGGCGCGGGCGGGGCGGGAGGAGTGCGGCCCCGGGAGGGCGCGGGCGGGCGGGCTCTGGGCCCAGCGGGTCCTAGAACCCGCCGGCTGTCCCGGCGGACCGGCTGCAGCAGACGCCTGGGCTAGGGCGGCATGGCTGCCCGCCTTGCGCCGTGCGCACACGAGGGTCCTAGAGCCCGCCATGTTGCGGGCTTTTGTCCCAGGCTTGCGGCCCGTCAAGCACGGTCCCCGGCGCCGGCGGCCCCCCTCCCCGGTCGAGGTCCTGGCCGCCCCTCCCGCGGTCCTAGAGAACGCCATCTTGCCGGCCTTTGTCCAAAGTATGGCCTTCGGTCCATTCATTTGTTCATTCTGTCATCCTTCGTTCACTCCTTCTTGCCGCGTTCTCCGATTCCTCGTTTTCCCAGGGCTTTTCCTGAGAAGAGGCAGCCCAGGGCCCTGCCCTGCGGGGCTGTCTGTCTGCCGGGGGCCCGACACGTAGACAGTTGCAGGGAGCGAGAACGCGCAAGGTTTCCGCAGCTCTCGGCTCTAAAGACCTTAAAACTCCCACATGCCTCAGAAACCTCATTTTACTGATGAGAAAACTGAGGCCCAGAGAGCCATGGCGCTCTTACCTCTATAGTTTTATTAAGTATTCCTGAGGGCACTGGGGAAGCAGGTATTTGAAAGATGCAAAAGAGTTTTCCCACGGGAGAAGGCAGAGGGAACTGCATATGGAGATGTATTTAGGTGGTGAAGTTTGAGAATTGTGGCTGGAGCTAAGGTCGCTGTCGGGAGGGGCACACTGCCCCTGGAGGTGAGGCTGGAAAAGTGGGTTGGGATTAGGTTGTGGACTGACCAGATTGGATGCCTAGGAGATGATTAGTTCTTATCTCTGCATGGTTCACAGTTCCCCATCTGCCGTCTCACCGGATCTCTCATGGCCTGTGAGGCCTATTGGTAACTACTTGTTTAGAGGTGGGGAGACTGAGGTGCAGAGAGGATAAAAAGTGGCTTTTCACCTCATCACTGCCCGCAGGGTTCTAAACTCTGGGAATTAAATCTCTGCATCCCTGGCATTTAGAGCCTGTTCATGCAGCAGGACGTGTCCCGCCCCGTAAATTCAGTAGTAAACAAAGACAAAGACAAGCCTCCCTCACCAGAGCAATGAATCCACTGTGGGGTACTGGGGGCGATATTTGGACCCTGTGAACTTGGAAAAGCAGAGAAATTCAGTTACTAAATAGTTGTTGACCGACATTCTTACAAACTTCTACTATGGAGGAGGCAGAGGCTGTAGACCTGGGTTCGAATACCGCCTCGGAGGTTGATTTGTTCAGTTTGTTTTGGGCACCAAGCATGGTTCTATGTGTAGAGGATACAGAATAATAAAGGTTCCTGGCTCTTTGCCAGCCTAGACTCTCAAGCTGGAGACAGAGAATTAACTGAACCATACAATGTATAAGTGCTAGCAAAGCAATAAGCAGGGGACAGAGGGCAGAAGTTTGGGAGGCAGAGACCCCCTGGCTTTGAGTATTGGCTGTGACTATGACTAGTTTCTTCACTTCTGTGTGCCTCAGTCTCCTTGTCTGAAAAATGGGGGGAAAATAATACTATTTAACTTAGTCTGTTTGGGCTACCATAACAACAACAACATAAATAACAGACTGGGGGGCACAACAGAAATTTATTTCTCACCGTTCTGGAGGTTGAGGTGTCCAAGATCAAGGTGCTGGCCAATTCAGTTCCTGGTGAAGGCTCCTTTCTTGGATCGTATGTGGCCACCTTCTGTCTTAAGTTCTCACATGGCCTTGCTTCCATGCGTGCGCACATTCATCCATAACAAACTCCTAGGCCATCGTGAGGCTTAGCTTGAGTAGCACACATAAGATGCTTCGAATGATACCTGGTCCATGGTAAATTTGCAAGGCATGTCATCCAGATGAGCAACATGAAGGAAGTTAAACAGGAGGGGGATAAAGAGTGATTAGCAGGGGTGCAGATAGCATTAAGAAAGGTGGTCAGGAAAGCCCTCTTTAAGGAGGTGACAGGGAGCTGAGACCCAAGTGGAATCAAAGAGATAGCTACACAAAGCCCCTTGGAAATAATGTTTCTAGCAGAGGAAACTACTAGTGTAGAGTCCCTGAGATGGGAAGGAATTTAAGTCTTTGAGGGGAAAAAGGGGGAGCCTGTGTGGGTAGAGCCTAGTGAGCCAAGGGGAGAGGAGTGGGAGATGGGATAGGGAGGAGTTAGATAGTTCAGGGCCTTGCTTGCCATGGAAAAGATATTGGTCTTTGTCCTGGGAGCAGTGGAAAGTCTCATGATTTGGCTAATAAACCTTAAGTAAATGAAGACTGGTAGAGAAAGAGCCCAGCCCAGGGACCTGAAGACTCGTGTTTGAGTCTGGGCTCCTTGACTAGCTGTGTGTCCTTATGTAAGTTTTTCCCCTTACGGGGGCCTTAATCTCCACATCTGAAAAAGAGGTGTATTAAAAATGCCTCTCTCCTAGAAGCTTCTGAAAACCTAAGGTTCTTAAATGAGTGTTAGTTGGAATGACCCAGAAAGCATGTTTAGAATAGATTTCTGAGTCCTACCCCATGCTCCCTGCATGATTATTTTCATGCAGGGAGTTCACAGAATCACTCTAGGGAGTGGTGGGTGGAAGAGTCCTCCGTGAACAGGGAAGTGAAGAGCTGATGATGGTTTTTTTTGTGTGTGTGTGTGGTACGCGGGCCTCTCACTGTTGTGGCCTCTCCCGTTGCGGAGCACAGGCTCCGGACGCGACGCGCAGGCTCAGCGGCCATGGCTCACAGGCCCAGCTGCTCCGGGGCATGTGGGATCTTCCCGGACGGGGGCACGAACCCGCATCCCCTGCATCGGCAGGCGGACTCTCAACCACTGCGCCACCAGGGAAGACCCTGATGATGGGTTTTTGTTTTTTTTAATATTTACTTTTTTGGTTGCACTGGGTCTTTGTTGCAGCGTGCAGGCTTCTCTAGTTGTGATACGCGGGCTTAGTTGCCCCGTGGCATGTGGGATCTTACTTCCCCGACTAGGAGTCAAACCCACGTCCCCTGCTTTGGAAGGCAGATTCTTAACCACTGGACCACCAGGGAATTCCCAATGGAGGGGTTTTAGACAGGGGCCTAGCGTACCTGACACTTCGTTCTTTATGGAGCTTGTGCCTGGCATGCCCCTACTATTTCCCCTGGGAAGTGCCTTAGGAGGAGGGGTTTACCCCTCCAGCTACCTGGTTTCTGGCTCACAGATGGGCCCAGAGCTTGGAGCCCACGGTTCCAGCCCTCTGAGAGGGAAACAGAAACATAAAGGGTGCTGGCTCTGGTCTCCAGGGACTTCTACAGGAATGAGAGGAGACCAAGGTGTAACCTGAGCTCAGGGTTCTGGTCATCGTGGGGCTGGCCCAGGTAGCAGATAAGCCTGGGAGGGCCCAACTACTCAAGGCGAATTAAACACCTGGATTCAAGTCTCAGCTGCATGAGTTACTAGGTATGTGACCATGGGTTAATCACTAACCTTCTCAGAACCTCAGTTTATTAGTCTGTAAAATGAGGACAATAATCCCTATCTCAGGAAGCTATGAGAGAATTAAATAAGGTTGCACACTCAGCAAGGTGTCTGGCTCTGAGAAGATTCAGTAATTGAGGGCAGTAATTATTCTTATCTCATTCAGCCCTCGCCCAACCCTGTGAGGTAAGTAGTGTTATTACCTCCCTTTTTTCAGATGAGAAAACTGAGGTCCTACAGCATGAAGTAAATTGCACAAGGTCACAGCTAGGAAGTGAGGAAGGTAAGATTCGAAGCCATGCAGTTTGGCTTCGGAGACTGCACTTAATGACAATGCTAAATTGTTTCTCTGGGCCTCAGTTCCCTTATCTGTGAAAGGGGGTAATAACAGAACGTTTTTCATGGTGCTGACATGAAGTGCAAGTAAGTTAACACATTTAAAAAGGTTAGGATGTTGTCTGCTGTTTAGCAAGTGCCCGGTAAATGTGAGCTATCATTTTCTTTTTTTTTTTAATATTTATTTATTTGGTTGCACCAGGTCTTAGTTGTGGCAGGCAGGCTCCTTAGTTATAGCTCCCGGGGTCCTTAGTTGTGGCATGCGAACTCTAAATTGTGGCATGCATGTGGGATCTAGTTCCCTGACCAGGGATGGAACCCGGGCCCCCTCCATTGGGAGCACGGAGTCTTATCCACTGAGCCACCAGGGAAGTCCCAGGCTATCATTTTTATTAAGGAGAAACTTTATCAGACTGTCCAGAGATGATCTAGAAAGGAGGTAGTGAGGGCCTCATCCAAGGATAGGCAGATTCCCTAGAAACTAGGCGGAATTCAAGCCCTGGGGAAGGCTGGGCCTCAAGCCCTTTAACTCACCTTCCAGCCCTAGGATTTAGTGGGAAAAGTGAAAAACCAAGCTGAGGGTGGAACAGAGCTGTGTGGGATGTAGGGCAGAAACCAAAGGGGAGATGCAGGAAGACCTTCCTTTGGGAAGTAAGGCTCTTTTTTTTTTTTTTTTTTTTTTTTTCTGTTCGCGGGCCTCTCACTGTTGTGGCCTCTCCTGTTGCGGAGCACAGGCTCCGGACGCACAGGCTCAGCAGCCATGGCTCATGGGCCTAGCCGCTCCACAGCATGTGGGATCTTCCCGGGCCGGGGCACGAACCCGTGTCCCTTGCATCGGCAGGCGGACTCTCAACCACTGCACCACCAGGGAAGCCCGGGAAGTAAGGCTCAAAGGAAGGATTGGTAGGATTCATAACAGCCAGGAAGGACCTGGGAACTTGCGTGGTGTGATGGAAGCCATGAAAAATTCTTGAGCAGGGGACAGAGCATCACATGGTACCTTAGGGAGAAGACTCCGGCTGCCTGTGCACACTAGATTGTGTGTGTAGGGGTGGGAGACTGAGGCAGGGCCACCAGGCAGAAGGGTGCTGATTCTAAAGATGCAGCCCTTGCCAATCACCCGGGGACTCCTGCGTCCTCCCTGGGTCATAACTTAGAAGACACCAACCCCTGAGGTATACAGATGAGGAAACAGGCCTAGAAAGGAGTGCTAGAGTCCAAACCTCCCACCTCCCAGCCCATCTTTTGGACACGCCTGGCTGCCCTCCCCTCTCTATAACATTGTCCTCCCCCCCGCCCTGGGTGCCCCAGCAGCTGCTGCACCTTAGGTGGGTCTGCTGTAATCCTCTTCCCTTCCTCCCCCGGGGAGGATGAGCTGGTGTTAAGACTAATGCAGCTGTTAATCCTATTTCCTCCCAGCCGTGATCTGCGGGAGCAGCTGGGTGGAGGCTGTCTGGGCTCTGAGCAGAGAAAGAAGGGGCCGTAGCTAGAGTGGGTGTTCCAGGAGGCCAGGCCAGAGAAGATACATTGAGTATGAGACAGAGACTTCTAACTTCTGCTAGCAATGGCTCAAGCTGCTTTGAGAGTAATTGAACTTCCCATTACCAGAGTTATGGGAGCAAGAACCAAAGACCCATTCCAGAGCAGAGGGTGGACCAGGATTCCTATCTGGGGTGGAGTACCTTACAGCTGTGCAAGGCCAGAATTCTGTGTGAACAGTTGCTGCCTCTGAAAGCTAACCAACCAGAGGGGAAAGACAAAATACATACGCTGGGGACCTGTCCCTTCCAGACAGATGGTGCCAATCACCACATTTAGCCCACTGGCTCTGCCTTCTTCTGGACCTACCTCTGTCTTTCCTGAGCACTTGGAGACCTTCAGGCCAGACCCACATCTAGGTAGCCTCCGTGTCTGCAGCCTTGCACAAGGCTTGGATTCTGAGCTGTAGAAGGAAGATGGTGAGATGGACAGAGCCTGGGCCTTCTGGGAATGCCACAAGGTTTGGAGAAGCCCAGAGGCTGGGGAGGGAAGTGCAGGTGGGCATTTCGATGATCCCAGCCTCTCTTAGTTCCTCTGAGGTCACCTGGTCCAGCTCCTTTCATCAGTGAACAGACCAGAGAGGAAACTTGAGCGCAGAGAGACAGGAATGTTTGCGAGGAAGGATGTGCATCCCAGGTGGGAAATGCAGATAAGATAGAGTTCCTTCTGAGGCCTCAGAGGGCTTTGGTGAGGAGACAGGCCTTGGAGAATTGGAAAGGGGTGTGGCTTCTAACTTTGCCTCTCTTGCAGAGAAGCCCCGCCCATCCAGGCCATGGAGGTAGAGTCTTCGGAGGAGAGGTCCCCAGCCCCTGGCTACAAGCGCTCTGGCCGTCGCTATAAGTGCCTGTCCTGTACCAAGACGTTTCCAAATGCACCCCGGGCAGCACGCCATGCTGCCACACATGGGCCTGCAGACTGCACAGAGGAGGTGGCCGAGGCAAAGCTGAAGCCAGAGCCAGACCCCAAAGCAGAGGATGCCAGCGGGGACAAGGTGTCAGGTGCAGCGGCGAAGCCTCGGCCGTATGCGTGCCCGCTGTGCCCCAAGGCCTACAAAACGGCACCAGAGCTGCGCAGTCACGGGCGCAGCCACACGGGCGAGAAGCCCTTCCCTTGCCCCGAGTGCGGTCGCCGCTTCATGCAGCCCGTGTGCCTGCGCGTGCACCTGGCCTCGCACGCCGGCGAGTTGCCCTTCCGCTGCGCGCACTGCCCCAAGGCCTATGGCGCGCTCTCCAAGCTCAAGATCCACCAGCGCGGTCACACCGGCGAGAGGCCCTACGCCTGCGCCGACTGTGGCAAGAGCTTTGCTGACCCCTCGGTGTTCCGCAAGCACCGGCGCACGCATGCAGGCCTGCGGCCCTACAGCTGCGAGCGCTGCGGCAAGGCCTACGCGGAACTCAAGGACCTCCGTAACCACGAGCGGTGAGGGCGCTGGGCTGGCTGGGGGGCAGCCGAAGGGGTTGGGAAGAGCGCACCAATAGCGTGAAGGCGTTGAGTCCCAAAGATCGGAAGGAACCAATGGGAAAGTGAGTGAGGCAGAGCTATGGGGGCAGAGGATGAAACTGGGGTCTGATTGGCCTGGGTTCCTGGACTAGGAAGGGGGTGGGGCTTGAAGTTGGGCTGCTGCCCAGGAGGTACGAGTGGAGGCCGGGTCTGCTGAGTGCAGAGATGGATCTAGAACACCTAGACACCCAGCCTGAAAGTTTCTTACTCTGAGGTACAGACCTGTGGCCCTTAGGGGATTGGGCCAAGGCCCCAGCGATGTTAGGGGGCCCTAACGTACAGTACAGACAGGCGGCGGGGGTCGGGCGTTGGGCTGCCACCTTCACTCCGGGCCTCTCCACTCCCACAGGTCCCACACTGGCGAGCGCCCCTTCCTCTGCTCAGAGTGCGGGAAGAGCTTCTCCCGCTCGTCCTCGCTCACGTGCCACCAGCGCATCCATGCGGCGCAAAAGCCCTACCGCTGCCCGGCCTGTGGCAAGGGCTTCACGCAGCTCAGCTCCTACCAGAGCCACGAGCGTACGCACTCTGGCGAGAAGCCCTTCCTCTGCCCCCGCTGCGGCCGCATGTTCTCCGACCCCTCGAGCTTCCGGCGCCACCAGCGGGCGCACGAGGGTGTGAAGCCCTACCGCTGCGAGAAGTGTGGCAAGGACTTCCGGCAGCCGGCCGACCTGGCCATGCATCGGCGGGTGCACACAGGCGACCGGCCGTTCAAGTGCCTGCAGTGTGACAAGACCTTCGTCGCGTCCTGGGACCTCAAGCGACACGCGCTGGTGCACTCCGGCCAGCGACCCTTCCGCTGCGAGGAGTGCGGCCGAGCCTTCGCCGAGCGGGCCAGCCTCACTAAGCACAGCCGGGTGCACTCGGGTGAGCGCCCCTTCCACTGCAACGCGTGCGGAAAGTCCTTCGTGGTCTCGTCAAGCCTGAGGAAGCACGAGCGGACCCATCGCAGTAGCGAGGCCGCAGGGCCTCCCCCGCAGCAGGAGCTGGTGGTGGGGCTGGCGCTGCCGGTCAGCGTGGCAGGCGAGGGCTCAGCAGCCCCGGCAGCAGGGGCTGGGCTCGGGGACCCTGCAGCAGGGCTGCTGGGGCTGCCTCCGGAATCGGGTGGTGTGATGGCCACCCAGTGGCAAGTGGTGGGCATGACGGTGGAGCACGTGGAGTGCCAAGATGCTGGGGTTGGGGAGGCTCCTGGTCCCTTGGGGGGGGCAGGCGAAGTGGGGGGTGAGGAGGTGGACGAGAAACCACCACAGTTTGTATGCCGGGAGTGCAAGGAGACGTTCTCCACGCTGACGTTGCTGCGACGGCACGAGCGCTCGCACCCAGAGCTCCGGCCCTTCCCCTGCACCCAGTGCGGCAAGAGCTTCTCAGACCGGGCTGGGCTGCGCAAGCACAGCCGCACCCACAGCTCTGTGCGCCCCTACACCTGCCCCCACTGCCCCAAGGCCTTCTTGAGTGCCAGCGACCTGCGCAAGCACGAACGTACCCACCCTGTGCCCATCGGGACCCCCACGCCCCTCGAGCCCCTCGTGGCTTTGCTAGGAATGCCTGAAGAGGGGCCAGCCTGAGTCCCAGGCCCCCTCTGCCACACTCCTGGGAGCTCCGCCCCTACAGGGTGCTTCCTGAACCTCCCTTTGCCTCAGCTCACTCTTAGACTCCAGATCCATCCCTTCACCCCAGGCAGCTAGCTCACCTTCCTGACAAAGAGCTGGGGACAGTGGAGGCTGGCAGCAGCCTCTGAGAGACATGGCTCCCTCTGAGCACCACTCATTAAAGCATTCGCTTTGACACTGGGTTGCCTTCTGTGTTCTGGTCGGGGGTAAGTAATGGGAATTTGGGCATCAGATAAGGTTCAGTGGAGATCCCTGGATTGACAAATTAGAAACTAGAAGGGTTTTTGGGTGCACTGTTTTCTCTACGTTTCAGAATGTCTTGTGACAAAGGGTTCCACGGTCAAGTAAGTACAGGAAATTCCTGTACCCTTATTGGGGATTCTTGGTGATCAAAGTATATTAAAGTCATCGATAAGTCCTGCAATGAACAAATCTATTTCGCTTTGTTTAGCCCACACTTACTTGACCTGTTACTGAGTAGCTCTACTTCTGTCTTTTTGCAGATAATAAACTGAGGCCCAAAGTTAGTATATTTCCCACAAATTGCAATAACAAATTAGAAAATACACTTGGGGTCCCATTCACAATAACAACAAAACCCATAAACTACAAAGGAGTAAATCTCACAAAAAACATGCAAACCCTGTGTGAAGAAAATAGTATCTTTGTCCTGAAGGATATAAGACCTAATTAAATGGAGATATACCATGTACCCGAGTGGAAAGTTATTATTAAAAGATGTTGATTCTCCAGTTTAATCCTTAAGTTCATTGCCATCCAAAAGAATTTTTTAACAAAACTTGAAAATCCTAAATTCCTGTGCAATATATATATTTAAAAACAGTGGAGGGGACTTCCCTGGTGGTCCAATGGTTAAGACTCCGTGCTCTCAATGCAGGGGGCCCGGGTTTGATCCCTGGTCAGGGAACTAGATCCCATATGCCGCAGCTAAGAGCCTGCATGCCACAACAAAGAGCCCGCATGCCGCAGCTAAGACCCAGCACAGCCAAATACATAAATAAATATTTTTAAAAAACCAACAACAGTGAAGCTATCAGGACTTCCCTGGCGGTCCAGTGGTTAAAACTCCGTGCTTCCACTGCAGGGGGCAAGGGTTCGATCCTTGGTCAGGGAACTAAGATCCTGCATGCTGTGTTGCCCAAAACAAAAACAAAAAACCAGTGGAAATGATGTATTTGACACGCTAGATAATCAAACACCAAAGCACTGGAATAAAAACAGGAGATTACTGACACAAGAATAAATTAATAGAGTGGGGGAGAGGGTTCAAAAGCAGCCCTATTTCTGGGAATGTAGTTTATGATAAGTATGATTATTCAAATCGGGAAAAATGTAGGCTGTTAAATAATTTGATAGTTATAGCCATACTCTGGAAGGCTACATAACTTTTAAAGTAATTTTGCAAAGACCAAAAATGGAAAAACAAAAACGAGGCGCCACATTTAGTGTAAACTGGGAAGATGATTTGATGTTTATCAAAAGTTAAATACTTCATGATGTATGTAATCATTATGCTGTACGCCTTAAACATACAGTACTGTATGTCACGTCTCAAAACTGGAAGAGGGGGGAAAAAAGCAAACAAACACATTTTTTTAAAAAAGGTTAAATGCATATACTCTCAGCAAGTACACCTCAAAGAATTTACATCACAGATTTCCTTTTCCAGTTCTGTGGCAAAACTGAAGATGAAAGATTCTTCGGTGCAGCAAAATTTGTGATAACTGGGAACACCCTATATGTCCATTAGCAAAGGACTAACTATATAAGGCCTCTGTAAGATATATTATGCAACAGTTTTTTTTTTAAATGAGGCTTATCAGTAGTGGGAAGCAGCCGCACAGCACAGGGAGATCAGCTCGGTGCTTTGTGACCAAATAGAGGGGTGGGATAGGGAGGGTGGGAGGGAGACACAAGAGGGAGGACATATGGGAATATATGTATATGTATAGCTGATTCACTTTTTTATAAGGCAGAAACAAACACACCACTGTAAACCAATAAAGATGTTAAAAAAAAAAAAAGCCAAGAGAAAGAAAAACACAAAACTCAAAAAAAAAAAAAAAATGAGGCTTATCAGGACTTCCCTGGCGGCGCAGTGGTTAAGAATCCACCTGCCAATGCAGGGGACACGGGTTTGAGCCCTGGTCCGGGAAGATACCACATGCGACAGAGCAACTAAGCCTATGCGCCACAACTACTGAGCCCATGTGCCACAACTACTGAAGCCCGCGTGCCTAGAGCCAGTGCTCCGCAACAAGAGAAGCCACCGCAATGAGAAGCTCACGCACCGCAGCAAAGAGTAGCCCCTGCTCGCCGCAACTAAAGAAAGCCCGCAGGCAGCAATGAAGACCCAACACACACAAAAATAAGTAAATAAAAATTTTTTAAATGTTTAAAAAAATGAGGCTTATTAATCTATGTTGTTGAGCAATATTCAAAAAATATGTCAAGTGTAAAATAGTGAAGTACAAAGCAGTGTGGTTAGTATGCTCCCATTTGGGCCAAATTACACATAAGTGCTCAAATTCCTATAGAATATTTCTAGAAAGATAATCAAGAACTGATTCTGGACTATAAATTCCAACCACCAGGGCCTTCTGCATTTATAAGCCAAAACAAAGCCAAAGGTCAGAGTGAACCAGATCCTTCTTTCTATGCTGTTATCTGTAGACTTGGGGGCCACCAAGTTGGCAGCCTTAGGAAGTGCCTGGTGTGCCACTGCCAGTCATGGGGACTAGGCAGCAGCTGGCTGTAGCCCAGGACTGGTACACCAGGTAGCACCTGGAGCAGAAGTACTAGGTATCCCCTTGGTGTCAGGGGCCTCACTCAGTGTTGTCATGCCCAGGCCCTCATTCCTGTTCTCCACAGCAGAACAAGGGGGCCACATGGCAACAGCAGGGATCAGTGTCATGGCTGCAGAAAGAGGGCACCAGTTTGACCAAGGACACTCACTGCCCATAACCATATCCAGAGCAGGAAAGAAACAGACACCGGACTGAGGGATTGAAAGCAGGGGAACTTTTGTTTACTACTGACTTGAGTTTTGGCCTTGAGCAAGATGATTTATCTTGGGGTTTGGGGAGGCACCTTTTAAAAATAGGTGTAAAGATACCATATACACTAATCAACAGATATCCCTGGGTATCTATCTACAGTGAAGGATGAAGTGGGTTCCCTGGATGTTCAGAACAGATCCACAACTCCTGCTCCCTTTCTGGGCCCAGACAACACACCCATCCCTTGGTCCCTCTCCTCTGACACCCCCAGTATCCCATACCCTAGTTCCTGCTCCCTGAGGACTCAGTCTGACTTTCAAAAAATTAATAGCATTATTAAAATATAATTCATATACCATACAATTAACCTGTCTGAAGTGTACAATTCAGTGTTTTTTTGGTATATTCACAGGGTTATGCAACCATCACAGTCTAATTTTAGAATATTTTCATACCCTCAAAAGAAACTCCATACCCATTAGCTGTCACTTCCTATTGATCCAAGCCCCTCCCCCCACCAACCCTTTTCCCTCAGCCCTCGTCAATGGCTAATCTACTTTCAGTCTCTATAGGTTTGCTTATTGTGGACATTTCATGTAAATGGAGTCATACAATATGTGGTCTTTTGTGACGGATTTTTTACTTGGCATAATGTTCTCAAGGCTCATCCATGTTGTAGTTTGATCAATTCTTCATTCTTTTTTATTGTCAAATAATATTCCATTGTATGGATATGCTACCTTTATTTATCCTTTCATCAGCTGATGGGAATTTGGGTCTCCATTTTTTGTCTATTGTGAGTAATGCTGCTGTGAACATTCATGTACAAGTTGTTTTTTTTTTAAATGAACTAAGTGAGCCTGTCTTTTTTTAAAATACATTTACTTATTTTATTTATTATTTTTGGCTGCACTGGGTCTTCATTGCTGCGCACAGGCTCTCTCTAGTTATGGTGAGCGGGGACTACTCTTCGTTGCAGTGCACGGGCTTCTCATTGCAGTGGCTTCTCTTTGTTGCAGAGCACAGGCTCTAGGTGCGCAGACTTCAGTAGTTGTGGAATGAGGGCTCAGTAGTTGTGGCTTGCGGGCTCGGTAGTTGTGGCTCGCGGGCTGTAGAGCACAGGCTCAGTAGTTGTGGCACACGGGCTTAGTTGCTCCGTGGCATGTGGGATCTTCCCAGACCAGGGATCAAACCCATGTCCCCTGCATTGGCAGGCGGATTCTTAACCACTACGCCACCAGGGAAGTACCTGTACTTTTGGGTGGACAAATTTTTCAATTCTCTGTGTATATATCTAGGAGTGGAATTGCTGGGTCATATGGTAACTCTATGTTTAACCATTTGAGCAACTGTCAGACTGTTTGCCAAAGTGGCTGCATCATTTTACATTCCCACCAACAGGGTATGAATGTTCCAGTTTCTCCACATCTTCACCAACAGTTGTTATTATCTGTCTTTTTTATTACAGCCATCCTAGTAGGTGTAAATTTGTTGTTTTGATTTACATTTCCCTGGCGGCAAATGATGTTGAGGATCTTTTCATGGGCTTATTGGCCATTTGTATATCGTCTTTGGATCAATATCTATTCCAAGTCCTTTGCCCATTATTATTATTATTTTTTAATTTGGCTGTGCTGGGTCTTAGTTGCGGCACGCAGGATCTTTTAGTTGCAGCATGCAAACTCTTAGCTGTGGCATGTGGGATCTAGTTCCCCGACCAGGGATCAAACCCGGACCCCCTGCATTGGGAGCACCAAGTCTTAGCCACTGGACCACCAGGGAAGTCCCCCTTTGCCCATTTTTTAAATTGGATTGATTCTGTTGAGTGGTAAGACTTATGTATTCTACATACAAGTTCCTTATGATTTGCAAAAATTCCCTCCCGTTGTGTGGGTTGTATTTTTACTCTCTTGATGGTGCCCTTTAAAGCACAAACATTTTTAATTTTGATGATGTCCAATTTGTCTATTTTTGTCTATTTTTGCTTGTGCTTTGAGAGCCATATCTAATAACCCATTTCCTAATACAAGGTCGTGAAAATTTATGCCTATATTTTCATCCAAGGGTTTTATAAACATTTACAAAGTTTATAATTTAGTTATAAATGTAAAAGTTTAAAATGCATAAAAGTTTTTTTCAAATAAACTATGTTTTT